ATCAGTAGCAGAATAACAGAAGACTACTTTATGAGTGATGGAGAGGTACCATTATCACCAAGGGTCAAGAGCAGAAGCTTGCCAAAGAGTAGTAGCTTTTATGTTCCTAAGCTAGCAAAGAAGATGGGATTGACAACTGAATCCATTTGAGACAGGATCACAGGAAAAGCAACTGCAGAAAATTAGTTACAGAAAGAAAACGATTACTTTTGATACTAGTAAACATGGCAGTTCAGAAGCAAGGATTGGAAAAGGTAAACTGTCCTCTGTTCAGGATCTTCCTGGAAATCAAAAGTGGGTAGAAGATGAAGCCAAATGGAAAAGTAAAATGAAAATAAAAGGACATGATTTGTGAGGTGTAAAATTTAATTTGCATCCTTTCAGAAAAACTAGAATCCAGTCAGGTGGATTGCCTTGTAGTGAAAAGCTGGAGCAGAAAACTACTCATTTGCACAAAAAGTTGCCAAATGAAATCCAGAAAAAGCTGTTAGTTTCTTTGAAAATAGAACTGACAAAAAAGAAAGAAAAATAAGGCATCGATATTGTGTAATCACCAGTGAGCACGAGCGCTCATGAAGAGAGAGAGATTTACTCCAAAAATGCTGCTCTCCATGTTTGACAAACATGTTCACCTGGGAACAAACCCACAGGAAGTTCAGTTATTATAACAAGTAAAGATGCTGCAAAATTGTCAGGACAAGCCTGTGGTGTCCCCGTACCGGTTGTTTGTCATCCTTCCCAGAATATTTCTGACATAAGAAGGATGAAGTTTCCCATGGCAGAAGTCCTAGAGAACAAGAATGCCTCATCCCCTGAGACTGTAATCTTCTCAATCCTGAATCACAGAATTTTTCAATTGCTTTACAAAACGGGGGAAGTGACATTTCTGATCCACATGTGGGAAACGTAGGTGACAGAGGCCACAGGATTACATGTGTCCTAACATGCAAAAACGGTGGTATTAAAGAAGAAGAATGCTAGTTCTTTTCCAGGTCTCACAAATGGGACAGGAATGGTAAAGAACTCAGAAGAAAAAAAAAATCCCAGCATTGAACTGGGTAGAAAGGTAGGCCTAGTTTTTGAAAACACAGTGCAAGACTTCAAACAAAACCAGGAAAATAAAATCCAGAGTGAAAATTTAATTATGCAAGAAACATTCAATAGTTTGGGAAGAACCAGAATACATTCGCCGTTACAAGGAGGCAAACCTGCTCTGGAATCTTATAATTCAGCTGTTGTGGCCCAGATCTCTACAAAGAGTGATATAATTTTAACAGAAATGAACCACGTTGCCAATCTCCAAGTTTATTCACGAGTACTCTGGTTAACTGGCACTTAACTAGTAGTCAGAAAGAAGAAACTGATACTGCAGACAACCTGAACGGGACTGATCACACTGGAGTGGAGGGAACAAAAGTAGAGAAAAGAGGAAATAAAATGCCACTTAATAAAAATGAATCAAAGTTGGAAACATTATTTTCAGACACAGAAATTATCTTAGATACCACAAGAAAAAATATACTACAGATTTCAGATAATGAAGAGCAAAGCATACCTATACCATATAAAAAAAAGTACTAAGTTACACCCACTATGACCTCAGTTCTACAGAAGAAGGAAATATATTACTGGGCAGTAATACCAGGCTTCAACAGTACTGTGCATATGGAAGATGTGCAGGATTTGCACGACTTTCAAAACAATCATCAGCCTTATCAAAACAACAACGTACTCGAAGAAGCTCAAATGCCACTGGAAGAGCACAAAGAGTTGTCTTTGTTGAAGACAGTAGTTCTGAGGCAGAAAATGAGGTGCCTTGAATTCCTTGAAGAATAAATGAAGCTGAAACCACTGCTACAAAAGCTGTACTGTACCCACCATCTGCTGAATATGCTAATATATCACCTTTGGAGGTAAAAGAAAGTGAGGAGGAAAAAACGACAGTCCTCTTGCTTTCTTCAAAACTATGGACAAACTGCCTCAGCTTTTCTGAAAATTATTAGCATTATTGTGGCAGAAAATTTCAACAAGTCAAAAAACATAAAGCAGTATTTGATTAAAGCTTCTGAAAAAAATAAAGGTAAGTCAGCTCAAGCCATTTAACTTATTAACTGGATAAAGGCTTTGGGAAAGGGTGGAATCAAACAGCAAATACGTTTTGCTCTGTCAGAGCTGTCAAACAGTGTAACTCAGTATGAAAGTGAGAGAAAGACAAAATAGGAAGTATTAACTGACCAGAGCGGCAACTTAAGTTTATGATCCTGAATATACAGCATGAATTTCATTTAATGTAAAAATTTACATTTGCAGTGCTCATAAACATTTCTGTTCCCTACGACATACACACTGCATTCCTTAAAAATATTTCTGTGCTTAATTTATTAATGTGTTTGCCTAACAGAGAATACAAAAATCTTTCTTTTATCTGCAACTGTTAAAGTCTTAAATCTTAATTTACATAGCTGGCTAAGATTTTTGGTCTCCTGCCCCTGAAAAAGTACTTGTATCTATTAAGCTTCTGGTGGCAGGGTCTAACACCTGGCCCTCTTTCCAGAACAACTGCCCTTCCTTTCAAAGCCTATGAGATTGTTCTTAGGACCGCTAGGTGGAGATCTCAACACCACTCACTGCACACTCGCAAAAGAATTAGCTAGAGCTGCTTTTCACACATGACAGTTTAGTACAGAAAATGTTGTGATCAGATTCAAAATATTTTAGCTCTTTATTTTCTTTATTAACTTCCAAACCTGGAAGTCTGAAAATTTATCACTCAAAGATCACACTATTAGGCCTAGTCTCTTGGACCAGGCAATGTGTCTTCATTAGTCTTATTCACCCTGCATAGGAGAGGTGAAAGATATATGGCTTTAGAAGCAAGAAACAGGGTGGTAAGTAAGTATATGTGCATGAAAATAGTATTTCAGGGAACACAGGTACACATACATAAGATCTGTATCCAGAGGGCATCTTAATAGCCATTTAAGAAAAGGAAAACAGTGAGAAGATATTATGAGCTCAGACTGACTGCTATGAAGAAGAAAGATGTCCTAGGCTGATGACCATTTCTCTCAGAAACAAAACTTGTAACTCGTAACTCTCATAACTTCTTACGGTTTTTCTCATAACTTCTCACTGTTTTTCCTGTCCCAGACCGTTCCCGAAACAGGAACTACAGTGATATGCGCAACACTAGAGGAAGAGAATTTCTTCAAGTCACTCTGTGTTCAACACACCTTTTATGCTTGTCTGATCTCAGTGTATCAGTGAGTAGCTTTAGGGCATGGTAGAAAAATAGCCAAATGTGTATACACTTTCAGGGAGACCTGGCTCCTCTTTCGGATGATATGAATTCCATTTTTCTCATGGAAAAGAAATCAATATTTTACAAAAAAAAAAATATCTAAAAAAAGTCTATGACAGCAGCACGTATTTTTCTACTCATTCAGTATAAGTCATAATCAAAGTTTAATACTGTAAGTACTTAAAGTTTTCTTGAATGGCTAAATGGATATTTACAGTTCTCTTCAATTCACCAACTCTTCTCTATTTGTTTTTCTCAGATTTCTTGACATACTTCAGTACCTCCATCTCCCATTTCTTTACTGACCTCTGTCTGGCCACGTAATTCTCTTGCATTTCATTTCAGTTCTTCCTTCCTATCTGTTTTTAACCAGCCCTTCTATTTCTTTCCCCTCCCTTCCTCTATTCATCTTTCTTGACTAGCTTGCAAGGTAGAACATTTCTTTTCCAATACAACAGAAACACAAAACAAACAATAAAGACTTAAAATCAAACAAAAAAGTCCAGCCATCAAAAAAACACTATATGGAATTTTTTAAAACACTAAAGGGAAGAGCGTTATTATCATCACATCCAAGTGCTAAGGATAACAGACATATGTTATATCATGTTCTCTTGCCACTGTTAGTATCTTTTCTATTTGAAATTCAAATTTTAGACAGACTATAGATGTGATTTTCCATTTCCTAAACAAGGGTTCATTGTTGTCCTACTGCCCACAGCGGATATAGGAACTGAAGTTGCAGTTTCCTGCCACTGAGTTACAGATAAAACCACTGCGAGATACCCGTGCATTCACACTGCCATGTGCCACCTTTCGGGGTCGTGCTGGCATGCCGTTTGAGGTGCCACGTAACGAACAGGATCAGGGAATGGACTTTTGAAAGCTCAGGAGGAAGGCTGACAGGGTTGTTTTGTTTTGTTTTTTGCTCTCTGTGAAAGCTGGGCCACATCCCTTGATCTGGCTGGTTCAAAGCATGCAGCTGCAAGCTGTGATTCAAGCAGGGGATGTGTGGGAGCAGGCAGTGCCTCCGAGAGCAGGACACACGAGGCCGTACCTGTCAGACATGCCTGCTGAGCCCCAGCCCCTGCTCTGCCTCTGACTCCTGGCGGGAGAGTAGCTGGCCTATGAATCACCTTTGAACTGGCTCAGCTCTGCTTGACAGGAAGAAAGATGATAGTCCCATACACTCCCCATGCTCCTCCTAGTCTTATTTCAGCCCAGCCCGGGAGATGGAGGAGCAGGATCCCTTGATCCCACTGCTCTGGGTCTGGATGCTCATCAGGAAGGGACAGCAGGGCCTAGTCCCTCGTGGGGTGAACCACCATCCACAACGCAGCGTCCAACAAGCGGTCAACAATGACGCTAGTTCCATTTCTTTGTGCGGGGAGCAATACTGCCAGGATAAACCACGACTACTCCATAACGGACCAGGGTTTTCCTCTGAGGCTCATCTGCAGGCAGAGCCTCTCTGTGCCAGGCTTTGCTTGTGAGAGGGTCCTCAACACAAGCAGCAGCATCAAGCTCTGCCTTAGGCAGTTGCCTCAGTAACTAGGCCTTTTGGCAAAGCCATCTCAAGTCAGAAAAATGGAGGTTGGCAAAAATATAAATACCCAGTTGCGTGCTTTCTTTCAAGGCTGCGTGCAGTGGCCGTTTCCGGTGACGGATGCCGCTGCTCGGAAGAAGCGTGAGCACTTACCTCGGGACAGGCATTCCAGCCCCTCATTAGCAATGACGAGATGGGCTTGGGAATCGAATACCCTATTGGAGGCCTGATGTGATGGTAGGCCATATCTGCTGCTGCAGCAGCTACAAATAAAACGATATAATGAACTTAATTAGTATTCAGGTATCATAAATTTTCCTATGAAAGCACATCTTATTTGCTGTTTAGATAGATCTAAACAGATGCAAAAATGGTTAAGTATCAAACTGGTAGATAAAGACTTACGGAGACTTGTGGCTCCACATTAGTTTTAAAGCTAGCTAAGACAGTCCATGACCCTGAATGGAAACGCATTTCTGTCAATACTGAACATGGATGAAGACAATCTGATTCAGGTTAAACTTTAATAAAATGGCCTTTGAAAAAAAATGAGTTAACTTTCACCTTACAAATGACATTTTTTTATAATTTCTTTTCTTCTTTATTAAGAGAGGATGACTGAGCCACCTCCTATAATTAACCTAATTAGATACCAGTTTATCCGCAACTGGAATGTAAAAGATTGATGTCTTAAAATAACCCATGGTTAGTCCTGTTACAGTCTAAGACTAAAATTAATTCATTGTCTAGTAAATATCTAGTAAGTGTCTTTTTATAAGTGCTAGCCACTACTAAGACAAAAGTGCCAGAATGTTTACATAAATGTGTTTACTCATTTAGTAAATTCAAATACATAATTAATCTCCTGTATTCTTTTTGAGCAGAGATTTTAAAAGTCAAAGCAAATGTATTTTAAATTCATATCAAAAGCTAAGTAAAATCCTTTGTTTGCCTAACACTTTAAAATGATATGTGATCAGAATATATGGAATATGCAGGGAACTGTTAAGATTGTAATCATGAGACTGTTAGGAGACAGATTTAATTTTTTTAACCATATACCATTCTCATCACAGTCTTTCTCATAAGAATAGATTAATTTCAGTCATTATCTGCTCTCCTCACAGTTTTTGTCAGTATAATGTTGTTTCAGAATGTTAATATTGCAGAGATCCTGTGATATTGCAACCATATGCAGACAGGAGGGGCAAACACTTTTTCCCTAATTTGGATCCCCCTCTGATGGGCTTTTGAAAGCGTGAGTCAGATACTATGGGTTTATCTTTTGCCTAGCAGACACTGTGAAAAGAGGATCAAATGGAAAATGCACTAAGTAACGAGAAATGCTCCCTTTTTCTCATCAAAGTTAACATAAATGATGTATTACCTATTGGCAAAATCCTGTCTCACCAAAGTTAGTGGAATTTTCACCATTAGTTTCATGGGATCAGGATTAGAAAAAGAAAGGGAGAAAATATTGTGTGCTTCTGTACATATCTATCATACTGTAGAAAGTCTGTTTGTGTCACTCCACTGTTTGGGCTCTTTTTTCACTATCAGCAAGGCTTCTCCTTCAGCTAAAAATACTTCTTTTGAAAAATACCCTTCAGAATGGCTGAGTTAAATGCCAAGAGTCCATTATCCCCAAATACAAGCAAAACAAAAAAGAGTTTGGGTAGTCCCCCAAAATCTGAACTTAGCGATGCTTTCCACTCTACTTTGCAATACTCTTGAACATCTGAGCATTTTCTGTTTTGACTTATTGGCCATATCCTGCCTTTCTTCATGGTCAGAGCAATTATAAGCCATCAGAGGAATAAATGATAATTTACCCACAAAAATTTTATTCCAATTTTTACTTGTTTATGGATCAGAGGAAACAGCTGTGGTAACTGGAGAATGTTAATCAGCATCTCATATATTCATTACCTACATATTTACAATCACAACATGCAGTCCCCTGGTACAAGTGTCATTTTTGCACTGGTTCAGCTTCTGTATCTAGTTTAACAGCTATAATTTCTGAATATCTACATTCATGTACTTTCCCACAAAACTCTACCCAAAGCTTACATACTGCTAGTTTTACAGGTGTGAATTGAATGCCATCTGTAGAAAACAGGAGGAGGATCTTCAGACTTCAGAGGGTGTCTGCTTGCCCCCAGACCTTACAAAAACTCTTTTTAATAGAGCTGACTCCAACATCTACTTCCACAAGCAGATTGTGCCCAAAGCACGGAAGGATGCCTTTGCAACCATGCTCTGTGCATGCATACATGAGAGACATATAGTCCTTGGGTAGAGAACTGAGCCATAATTCTCATGAAAACAGGATGAGTTCAGTCTGGGAACCAACAACATTAACCCAGTAAGACACAAAAGGACTGTTCCTCTTTAAATCCTGTAGCATAGGCTTAATATTCCACATAAACTGGGACAACTGGTAGAGGAAATGAAAAGAAAATTTCCCTTATGATATATATATCCCTTATGAAATATATCCCTTATGATAAATTGTTTTCACCTAGTAATTAACATAAAATTCTGTTCTTTTGTCTCGTCTATATTGTTGCCTAAAAAAAAAAAAATTACAAATATCTAAGTTTTCTTACATTTTAGGCTTCCAAGATACTGTCCAAGTCTCTTTAAAACTGATCAAAGCTTTGAGTATAGAGTATTGGTTCAGCCTGTTATTGAAATACTCAGCAGCTAAAATACTCACATATCATAAGTGGGCCTACAGGCATTTTGTTTTCTGGGATAAAATTCTAGCTCAGTTAAATCAATAGAAAAAAAAAGTATTGTCCATAAAAGACATTAGAAGTTACTCCTTGAGACTTTAAGTGAGTCTCAACTACTGTTGAGACAAATAATAAGGTACTACCATAGTTGGTGCTAAACTAGCTAGTGGGGGGAAAAAAAAAAGATGCTTAAGGTAGATGGGCTAAAATCCCTGAGACCTACCAGGACAATCCAACCATTTTCCTCAGCACAGAACTCAAGATTTTAAAGTATTCTAATGCTCTGAACTGTTTACTCTTTCAAATTTAGACCACTCATTAAATGCAATTCATCTTCCTGACAGACCTTTTAACTACCCTACATTGAATTTATCTGATCGATCAACCTTATTCCATTAGTCTACTTGGTTAGTGCTTGCTTAAATCAGAGGCTGCTACCTTTTCATTTCAATTATCTTTCTGCTACAAAATCCAAATCTCTTCCCAACAAAACTTTCTAGTTATTATGCTCTTCTTTTTCATATGGGAATTTTCCCCCTTCCCACCTGTCACTTTCTATATTTTGGAGAAATTCTGAAAATCCTTCATGCCAAATGATCTCCTAGTGCTTTCTATTAGTGATCTGTGATCTCTATTGCTTTCTGTATTTTACTCTATGCTAAATTTTCTCAATGGCAAGAGCAAATGGACCAAATGAACCATTCACTCAGGCCCTCTAGGTCCAATCAAACGACTGCAGCTACACATTCCAGAACCAACACACTGTGCCCCTGCCCGGTCTCTGCTTCTGTATGTGGGCACAATCCTGCTGAGATCGTGCAGGATTTGTGAAATAGAGCTCTCGTGCCTTCTGTGTACTATAGAGGCATGCATATTTGCGTTCCATGCTCACATGGTCTCAGCCTACTTGCCCATCTCAATTGTTTCCTAAACTGGCTACAAGCCTGGATTGCACTTCTAGTGTAAACTGGTCCTTAATAACATAATGATCTGACAAAGAAACAACGAATTGCCAACCAGTAACCTAACTGCTGTATTTGAAGCGTGTGCAAAGCCTCAGACGGTAAGAGCCTTGGAGAAGAAATCATCTCCATATTTAATAAATATTAATGGTTATGCATTCTCCAGTTACTTCCCAGAATCATCCTTCCTTCGGGATCGTCTCGACTCGTCTGTTTTACAGATGATTGTTGAGCACATTTGGTAGGTTTCCTTACCGACCAGAAGACATGCTACTAGCTTTGAGTTCTAACTCAACAAATATTATATTTGAATTAATGCTAAAGTGATTTCATTGGGGATTTCATCCAATTTAATAGATGTTCCATTTGATAAAGTAACTAGTGACTTAGATTCAATAGCTGTAAAACTGTTTATACAATTTGATGAATGGATATCTAATCCAGAATACAGCATACCCTAACAAAACTGGATTTTGTACCAGATTCAGCAGGGAAGGTGCAAGTGCTTTCAAAGTGCTAACTATATCCGTTTCAGTGGGTGACATCTAGTTTTCATTAGTATCAGATTTCATAATTACATATTATTTCAACACCTAATTTGACCAGAATGACTTCTCAGCATGCACAAAAATAACTACAAAATAAAGATAAGATCAGGAATACGTAATTACAGCGCTCTGCAGATGGCATAGACAATTTTCCAAAGGAAAATTTGTCATTCCTCATCTTGAAATACATACTTTGTGAAAAATATTGGATTTGTTTTTAACTGAATAGGCATTATCTGAACATATATCATAAATGTAGAAATTTTACATAGACTATAAAACATACAGCATCCTCAAAGCTGCTTTTTGCAGAATGTATATCTAAATCTGATGTGCAGCAAGTTCAATACCTTTTTTATGCATAAATACATCATATCTTTCATAAGCAGTGTAGTTTGAGAGACCACAGAGACTAGGAACTAGTCATAAACCAGGAACTGCTACATCTGAAAATCACCTGCTTTGTGGCCTTGTATAAAGTCTCAGTTTCCATATCTATAAAAAAGGGGAAAATTGCTTGACTGAATGTCTGAGGGGACCAAAATTCAACTGCTACGTGGGCTGGGGTGCATCCAGAAATCTATAGTCTTGATTTTCAGGTACACAATTATGAACAAAGATACTACAACCAGTGGAAAAGGAATGCAAAAAAAAGGTTCAGGACTGAAATTCAGATTGACAGCTAAATGTGTTTTATTTCTAGAAACTGAAGTGGAATTGATTCAGATGTCTGGCTTTTGCATTTACTATGTTAGCAGTTAGAAATAAAGAGCTGTAAAAACCAGCTAATACAATTTAGAAGGTCATATACAGATCTGGCATACTAATTTCTAATGATGTTAATGATAGCTACGCACTTTGCATGCAAGAGGCTGAACTTCTGAACATCACAAAGACCTCCAAAGGAGTTTAATGGAGGCATAATCTCAAAAAAGAAAGCAGCAGAAATATGAATCTTCACTTAAAATTCTTCCAACAGACAAAAAAGACAAGAAAAACAGTCCACAGGATAAGTAAAACTTTACGTGTATCAGAAACCATATATTTGACAAGATAATAACAATTGCACTGAGAAAAATGCATTAGATTTTACTTAGTATTTGAGAATGTAATTTATAAAGCAATTGACATGATCAGGGGAAGAGTATAGTGATAGGTACCTAAGGAACAGACAGAATTAGACATACAGATAGGCATACACAGGCAAACAGATGCAGGAGTAAAAACGGACTATATGCTGTTACTTGACATTTATATTCTGCTTGGGCATAAGTGTTTATATGAAATAGAGACACCCATCATTCTCAAGGCAAAAATGCTGCCATAGACTACACTTTCTCCAAACATCAGAAAAATCTATTAATGCCAAGCCTTGCACATCTCTTCCCCCAGCAACTCTCCTCTCCTTTGTACCCAAACCCCACTTAAAACAGAACAAAGAAACCCAAAGTTTCCCAGCCTTTTCAGCTGCTGGAATGAAATGCTCTGCTAAAGTTCGCCCAGGCTGGTCCCAGCGTGGAGAGAGCTGCGCGTCAGCATGGCCGCAAATCCACCTCCGGTCACAGGAAGACAAACTGCAAAGGCTCAGGTCAACGGCACAGTGGTCCAACACCTCCCAAAGCTTACCCATGCTGGTCCTAACCATATCCTGAGGCACTCTCAACTCCTAGCAACTCCTGGCACACATCAAGGGTTCAAAATCATGGTAAGCACGAAGCTGGACCTGAAAATCTCATTTTGCTGTTGCTACCTCATCACCATTTGTAGGTGCCTTCTTAAGCTACACAAGAACACACTCACAAAAGAATTATAGTGAGTAACCACTTTACAATACCAAAGCCAATGTGAAAGACAGAGGAGGTGCAGTTAGGGTGTTTTGGTCATAATCCTTGAACTGGATGGAGTTATTTATTTCTAAACAAATTTATTACAGCAAATAATAATGTGATTGTAGTGGGCTAGTTTTATGCTTTTCAATGAATGCATCATCCTAGCATTTTATAACAAACTTTAGAAAAACATTGCTTAAAACTATGGCTACTTGTCTAGCTTGGAGATGTCTAGACATTAATTCACTGAGCATCTTACCTGGTTTTAGGTGAGCAAATGGAATTTCACCTGTTAACAGTTCCCAGAGACACAAAGCATAGCTGAAAACATCAGCTTTTATAGTGTACCTTGTACACTGAGTGAATACCTCAGGGGCCATCCAGCGTAGGTTCTGTACATCAGAAAACATCAATAATACATTAACAATGTTTTGGTCTTGGAAAAGTGTATCTTCTCTTGTATTTATGTGTTTATTTTTCTTTCTTTTCTCATTTTCTTACCTCCCTTCCCCCATAAATTAACCAGTAAATTCACCAGGAAAAACAGCTACCATAGCATGCAAAACTCAGGCAGCAAATTACTATACGTTATACATAACAGCATTAGGATAGTGTCTGCATCAACCCCGTAAAACCAGTGTAATCAGGCTTTAAACAACAGAGTAGTGCTGCAGCAAAAACAAAACACCCAGCCTTAAATGGTCTGGAGACCATGCTACAAGGTCAGAGCATGCCACATTATAATGATTAACTACTGCTCCACCTGGTAGCTGGAATAACAGTGATGACAACTGTGTAGCGTGGGTGGCTGCCTCCTCTCCTGGCATCTCACTGCTTTCTCCAGAAGCTCAGTTTTGAGGCTGCTTCACAAGCAAACAGCCTCTCAGTGGAGTGATGAATTCAGGGTCTTTTTGCAGTTTTTTTGCACCCAAGTAATTTAATAGATATTCTTTGCAAGATAGCCCTTCTCAGTGAGATATTATCAAACCCAGGCAGGAATGAGGCCTGCAGCAGCAGTTCTCACTCCTCATGCAGTGCGTGCCTGTTAATGTTTGTTAAAAGGGTGACCACCAAATCCTGGTTTTAGTATTGCAAGCTGTATTCCAAAATTAGCGATTATGATGATGCAATGTTTTCATGACCATGGTGTGACACATAGAATGCATCTGGACTAAAACTTGCAAAGCTAGTGATACTGTCTTGTAAATGATGATCCTCTGCGAGCAAGGTGTTTGAAACAGAGAACAGAGCTCAAAAAGAAAATCAGTGCTGAATAACTAATTCTCTAGTAGAAATAGGGACCACCTGTCAGCAACATGTGTATGTGAGTGGGGCTGGTGGATACAAAAAGAGGATGTTTTACTAAGAATTTTTCAGAATTTTTCATAGAACCCAAATACGAACCTCACAAAAACATTATTTTCTGTTGCAGAGTAAGAAGCTTCTTTCTGAGCGCAAAACAGAAAATATATTTTGCGTTCACTGATATCTGCTGTTAAAGAGGCTGATCTCCAATATGTAAAAGAGAGCCAAAAAAACCGTAAAGGAGATACAAAGCTGTACCAGAGCATCTATTCCAGCAAAAATACTTCTAATGCAATTTTGTCCTAAACTGAGTTTGCTCACATGTTTTATACTAATTATGTGGAATAAAACAAGAAACAAACCCCAGGTTGTTTTGTCATGTTGTCTTCATCCAAGGACTGCAAAAATCTGGATTCTGAAACACACAGAACACAAAAAAAGTTTTACTGTCAACCCACTACAGACACCCACCTTATTCTACAAAATTCTTGTTAAGAAATAAAAACAACTTCTTTTATGACACTGTGGTTTTGAAAATCCAGGGGACCTGTGATAGCTTGTTTTTTAACAAGGATGCATGCACACAATGAAGCTTCTCAAACCTGAATGCCAAATTCAGCACTAGTATAAATCTACAGAGCTCCATTGACATTACTAGCAGTTTACAGCAGCTGAGGATCCACCTCAGAATTTGTGAACTTGCGATTATTTGTACTGGTCAATGTAAGTTTATCTAGATTTACAACAAACAGTAACTGAACCCTGCATTAAAATTCAAACCCACAGAAGCCTGTCAGTCTTATTTACTGTCAGAAAAGAAGTGCAGCTAAAAATGACAGATCTCGCATGCATATAGTGAAGGTGGTATATAGTGATATATTTTATGATACATAAATAAGTCCCCAACTAGGACTTTGGCATACGAGAAAAATACACTTACACTTGCACCTGTACAAATAAGAATATTTTCAGCAGCACCCCAGGCAAGCAGAAGAGAATGATAATAGTGCTTTTAGCCACTCCCTTGTGTTTCAGGCCTTATGCCATCTCCCTGCTCCAGCAGGCTGGATAACAGCAAGTCTGGATCAGCACTGCTCAGTTAGGGGTCCCGCACAGACATGGCCATGCTGATATCACTCTCCTCTGCTTATGCAAAGCTCGTGTTCATGCAGCTCTACCGATTACATCTGTGCTGATATGACACAGTAACAAGGGCAGTATCTTAAGTGAGTAGTTCCTGATGCAGTTAGATCAAACCAGCTCTGTAAACTCTACCCTTGCACCAACAAGAATGTGTTCCCACAGGAAACTTCTGCTTGACTGATAAACACCATGCCAACGCATGAGATAAAGATTCGTGAGGTATTACTGGGTTGTCAAACGCACAAAGTTACTAAGATCCATAACTGAAATAAAGAGCTACATTTTGCCCTCTCAACTAAAAGGAAAGAAACCTATCTTATTGCCCTGGGGTCTGGCTGGTAACAACCACAGACTTCCATGATAACTGTCCTCAGATCCTGATCACTTCTCATGAAAGATAAGGACACATTCTTTACTAGAGGGATTTTTCACTCAACTTCTTCCTCTAACCTACCATCAAAACTTACTCAAGCTGAGTGGCATCCATCTCACTATCATCTAGGCTTCAGTCTCAGATATAAAGTGAGGTATTTTGCAGCATGGATGGCTAACTTAGATGAGAAAAAAAGAGGATTTTTTCATCCTTAAAAACTTTTTCTCTCCTCTATAATGAAATTAAGAGCAACCTAATCAACTTTCTGATTTTCTTAGTCAGCATATGTTTATTTTTAGACAATTTCAGACTAAATATAGATCTTTCATAAAAACTCCTCACCTCCAAAATCAGCAACAACAGCATGGCCATCCTCATACAAAAGAATATTGTGACTGGAAAAAAGACGATTATTAGAATAGACAGTTATTTGATAGTGTCATAAAAATAGTGAAAATTTTAAGATTTTTGATTCATAGCTTGAATAGTTGAAGTCTTAAGGACTTCAACTCATTTGCCTGAAAACATAAATGTCTGCAGATAAACCACCTTTAGTTGCATCTCACATTTATTATCATAAAGTACATAGATTAACTCTGAGAAGATAAACTTAATAGTTTCATGGATGTTCAGCTTCTAATCAGTATTAGAACAAAACAATTTCTGTAATTAGTCATAGATCAATTATAACAGCTTTATTATTTCTATGTACTGGATCTTAAGGATAAAGTGAAGAAGGTGTTTGAAAATAAATACAGTAATAGCCTTTAAATATAATTGCATAGTCCGATTCTTTTCTCTTTTAAGGCTTACATAAGTGTAAGTCCTAAGTCATGTATATGCATAGAAGGGCAGGAAAAGATCTGAAGAGTACAGATATGATGGATCATGAGAAGCCGTAAGAAATCCATTAAGCTGGGAAAAAAATGACATTGTAATATTTTAGAGTGATTTAAAGAGATTCTTGCCCTTCTCTCCAGAACACCCAGCACTGCCCTAGTTTCCATACTTGAAACCATACCTGGGTGCATACCTGAAAAAGTATATTAAGTTAGCATTATTTGCCTAAGCGTCTGCACTTTGTCAAGACATTTCAGTGGGGGGGTGACTAAGAAAACTCTTGAACAATCTGACTTTGCCCTGTTTCTGAGCTGCTACCATGGGCTACCTTGATGTCAGTGAATTAGAATCACAGAACGGTTTAGGTTGGGAAGGGTCATCTGGTCGAGCCTCCTTCCAGAACAAGTGCTAGCACCAAGTCAGGTCACTCAAGGCCTTGTCCAAGCACATTCTGATTATCTCCAGTTACGGAAATCCCGCAACACTTCTGGCCGTCTACTCCAAGGTCTGACTACTGTTGTGAAGATTTTTTTCCATGTTTTCCCCAGTTGGAAGCTCCCTTGCCGCAACATGTGTCTGCTGCTTCTGGGCCTTTTGCTGGTACTTCTGAGAACCGTCTTTTCTATAACCACCAATAGGTAGTTGAAGACTATGCCCAAGCCCCCTGGCTTCCTTCCTCTTCTCCAGGCTGCACACACCCAGCTCTCTTAGCCCTGCCTCTTACGTCATGTGTTCCAGCCTCTGACCATCATGGTGGCTTCCGCTGGGTTTGTTCCAGCATGTCAATGTCTTTCTTGTACTGGGATATTCCATAATGTCAGATTTCTATCCGCTTAATGAAATTAGGTGGACTTACTGAATTTTTACTATTTTATCTAATTATCGGGAAATGAATATCCTTTGTCATTGTTTGATGGGTATAACTGCAGGTACAAAATATTGTTCATGATTGGACATCATATTTCCAGAAATTTAGCAAAGATTTTGTATACAAAATATGGTCCATTGCTCAACATACAAACAAAAATTTTAAGAAACAAAATCATGGATTTAAAGACTTGGGCTCTAGTCCCATGGAAAGGGTCCTCTGGAGATCAGGCAGTTCAACCCTACTGCTCAAAGCAGGGCCAGCTACAGCAGGTTGCTCAGGACCATGTGCAGTTGAGTTTTGAGTATCTGCAAGCATGGAGATTCCAGAACCTCTCTGCAACCCTGCAACTGCACACAGTCCTCTATTTACTTCCATTTGTTCCTGATGCTGCATGTGTTAGCGCACATGCACTTCAGAAAGGCACCCAGTTGTGCTGATTTCCCAGAAAAGGTGTGAGAGTTGTCCCCATGTTGTCCTATAGGGGCTTCTTTATTTATGTGCATATGCTTGAAGTGGGTCCCATTTAGCCCTGTTACGTTGATTACAAAGTCTCTCCTGACCCCATCACCCTGCTCACTTCACTTACCAGATCAGCCCTCAGCTCCCTTCCCTGTCACTTGTAGTTTAAAGCTCTCCTCACCAGGAATCCCATGGGAATCATTTTGTAAAAGGACCCATCAGAAGATCTTGATGAACAGAGGTTAAGTAATGGTTTTTTTAATCTTTTGGGGCACTTCTTTTAGCCAAACAGTTCTGTGAAGTTCACCTTCAGGAAACTGAATCTCTTTCATGTCAAAGACACTCACTCTCTTAGGTGCTTTAAAGAAATGCTACCTTAGATTTAAGATTAGAAATTATTTGGTCACAGTATGGTATGCTGGGCAGGAAATCGGAGCACCAGGGTTCCATCCCCAGCAGTATGCTGACATGTTGTAAGGCCTTTGGTACGTGCATGGTAATGACAATGCCTCCAACCCTTAGGCTGTAAAATGGAGATAAGGTTTCCTCTGTTTGAAGATGTGCTTTGAGGCTTTCAGATAAATCATTATATTCAAATACAAATGCAGGTTTGTATAGTAGGCTAAACACTATGACATCTGAGTTCGGTGATTATAAAACAGCATCAAAATGGTTTGGAAGCTGGCTTAAAAGAAAAGATTGGAATTATGAAGAGCTACCTTAAGTGAAAGCTATAGCATAGATTTAAATACCAAGAGGAAAGAAGAGTTAACGAGGGAAGAGAAAATTTCCTGAAATTTCCAATAACGAGGATTATTATGGAATTTCACAGTTGAAAATAGTATTAGGTATGTAGGCCTTACAAGAAAGATGTACGATCTAGACCTGCTCACCCCAGAGACAATAGCAAAAT